GAATGCGAACGCAAACTTTTTGTTGCCTTCCAGTTCACGGGCGAAACGTTGCTGAGCTTCGTCGCTCATATCTGGAACATGGACGGCTTTTTCACATCTATGAACAAAAATTTGACTCTCCTAAAACTATGAGGAGGGTTTTAACACATTTAGACGATAAGAGGAACTGTAAGCGCAGAAAGCAATTTTAGACTCGAACGTTTCATGTCTAAAAATTACTTTGAACCTCTTCAGCTATCCCTCCCTGGTGGCGAACAAGGGGGGTACGGTGCACTTCCGGCCACAGCCGCGTGCGGTAGCGTTGCGGCACCAGTACAATCACTGGAGCTCTCGTCGACAAACTACTCTCTTTGTGCTGTTTATAGCATGAAATTTGCTGCTGCTCGCAATCGAATCCAGCGTCGCGCTGCAACCGCTCGCGGCTCGTTCTGGCCAGAAGTGCACCGTACGTCCCTTGTTCGCCACCAGGGAGGGATAGCTGAACCAGCTCGAACCAGAAGAGGATAGGGAGCAATCAGCTCCACACTGAGCTATTTTGGCGAATGAAAAGTTTCTAGCGCATTCAAGATCACGAGCGGAACGAAATTTTTTCCCAAGAATTTCTGAAGGACTCGGAGCTTTTCAAAAGATTTTCAACCGTTTGATGAAGAGATTTGCTTTCTACTCATTAGGCAGGGGAGTCTGTTCACGAGGATTATGCCTACTTACCTGGGTTACGTTTCGCAAAGGCAAATGCGAACTTTTGCTTGGCGAGATCACGAGCGAACCGTTCCTTGGCAAGATCTGGAAAAAAATAAAATGGTTTACTGAGAGACGAGAGACCAGAAGAAATCGAGGAGTCGGCTTCACATGGACCCCCCCCCTCCTCTTTGGCCTCCCTCTCTTTCCATCTGCTCTCTAAAATCGATCCGACCCCTGTCGCACCACGTGCGTTAGGATCCTGGTACGACCCTCCCTATTTCGGGCTCTAATTGTTTGCTCTGACGAGAAGGATTAGAGGAGGCCTTCTGAAGAGTCAGCTGCATAGCAACGGAAGCATAAGTGTAGGTGAGGAACCTTATGATCTTCTGGCGTAGAGAAATCTCTCTTGCACCACTGTCTTCTCCATCCTCTAATCAAAAAATCAGAATTTCAGCCACCTCTACCATCTCATACCAGTGTTTTTGGAGAAAACACCTCAGTCGGAGGAAAGCGTTAGAGTGGAAAAAAATTAGCGTTGTTCCCAAAAATATCCTTTCAAGTTGACAAAAATCCCTTCCCAAGCATACGCACCCAGTCAAAGACGATCAGTCTCCCTGAGGGTTCAGATTTAACTGTCATGTCGCCTCTGTCACTGATAGTTGTCAGAGGCGTAGAAACAGCCTGAGGGCATTTTCCACCAATGCTGATCGGTAAGTGATCAGTTTAAGAAAACAACCAACGGTAGAACACTCTACTGGAGGGTTCATTCTACGCCTCCTGACCGCTTCGACTGATTGTGCTGATATCAAGCCCAGGGCTCACACATGCTTTAGAGTTTGCGCATCACCAATTCTATTCAAGCTTTACTTCTTCAAATTCAATAATTTTGGGAACTAGTGGTGCCGGTACGGCCGCCTCCTCTGGTACATAATCCCGGAACCTACCTCCTTTTATCAAATCTTCCTGAGGCTACGAGCGAGAGGGGGAGGTGGTGGGAAAACGCATCTCCGACCAACTATTGTAAGTAGTA